GCTTGAAGGAATCTGGTCTTCATACAGATTGCCGCCTGCCTTCACTCTGGGGAACAATTACATTATTCTAGTGGGGAGGTCAATGCTAAATAATAGACATGAAAAGTTATAAAATATTGAGTAACAATTCAAGAATTTAAGAGATAAAATATCACAAGGCTTTAGTACCTGATCGTCAAAGAATTATGTAATACATAATTCAGTGTTTAGAGGGAGGAGAGAATACTTCAGCCTGGGGTAATCAGAGAAAAAAATATATATATATATATATTTGCCTTATATGCTTTTATATTCCCAGAGGCAGTGCTCTACACATGATGGTACTTGATAAGTGATAAGATGATGATTTCCTTAGCATCCCAACTTATAAACTCTTGCTAGAGGTACTGCTGTCAATGTTTGTAGAGTTGTTAAGAGTTTTGAGAGGTGGTTTTATGATATTTTTGTTCCCAGATTTATAATTCTTATATCAACGCAGCCCTGCATCTCAGCTCCATAAAGAATCTTGGCCTCTTACTGGACTCGAATACCGATTTAATAGAGTTTTGCCAAGGCATGCTTTTAGTGATGTCAGCTTTTGTTATCCTGAAATATTTTCCAAGAAAAGTTTTCATTAAAATGGGTTTTAGAATTCCCAACTGGTCATTTCTACCTAGATTAAAAAAAAAATTTCAATAATCTCTTACTGAAGGTCCTAATAAAAATCGTGCAAAAAAAAAAGCTACCATCATACAGAACACATGATTCATTCCTTAGCTAGTTTTCAACCTGGGTCAGAGGTGACACTACAGAAATGCAGGGATCACTGCAGCAAGGTGTGTAGATGCCCGAGTATCAGAGGGATGTGGTGTCATTGTCACCAGTTGGAGGTCAGCTGGTCACATGGTAGTTACAGCTAACATTTATTGGGCCCTTACCAAGTTCCAGGCACTTTATATGTTATTGATTCATTTAATCCTTACAACTACATGATAGGTACTACTGGGTTATTCCCACTTTACATGTAAGTTGAAGCACAAGGAAGTTAAAAAGCTTGCTCAAGGTCACATATGGCTAGTAAGTGGCAGGTATCTGACCCCAGGCGGTTGGCTTCTGAGCCCACACTTCTAACTTCTAGTCCCCACGCTCTCTCACCAGATATTGTTAGTGTGTAGGAGCGAGCATGCGCAGTGAAGAGAGCCCCTTATCAGGGGGCAGGCTGGAGCCACCGCCCACAAAGAACAAGAACACTTGAGACCAACCTTGTAGACTTCAACTTGGCTCAGAGAAGGAGATATTAGCCCACTTCCTCCCCAGCCCTTGCTCATCGTAACACAAGAAACCAGCACGTACAAGGAGGGAGGAATGAATGTAAATAGCAAAAGACCAATTCCCTCCCTCCTCCCAAGCCACCACAACTGGGGACATATCTCGGCTGCTTGGGCATAGGGGAAGGGGAGGAGAGGGAGGACTTTGAATTGAGTTTGAAATTGGAGTTTAAAATGTGTTTAGTACCAAATCCTAGAATGAAATCTTAAATACCAAAATGAAACTGTTTCAGTGGCTGAAAAGTTATGGCATCTGGCCAACATGTCCCCCATGGAAAGGGGGATTTCCCCATTGCATAGTTCAGGGACAGTTATTGGGTGGGGAAAACCAAAGACTCATGTTTGTTGTCACGAAGCTTCACACTGAGCTGGGGAACCAGTGTTTGTCTTTTGAGGCGATTTATCTGATCCATTTTTTGTTGAGCAGGCAGGGGGCATTCTTACTGCCTCATTTCCCAGTGTTTAGGGGAATGATGTTTCACTATGGTCCCCAAATTTAGACACATTCTAAATTTGACATCCTATGGCTCACAACCATGACTCTGAAATCCAACAACAAAAAATAGATATACAAAAATTCTCTGTGTATGTCCCCTTTAGTTACATGGATGGCATAAAACAAGTTACAACTGTGAAGGGTTAACTATTTTTAAAGAGAGTTCGATCTAATAATGTGCTCTATTTGTCTGGAAGGTGCAAACTTCTAAAATGCTGACTTCAAAAAAAAATTGTTATTTTTCAGAAACTTGAAAATTTTAGAGGGGATATTAGCCCATTACCATGCTTAAGCCAACGTACTTTCCCCTTTATTCTTTCAAACTTGCTACAGTCCATTATCTACCATATTACAAATCTCATGACGTATTATAATACCCCATATACACACCAAACATCTGAAGGCCTTTTTCTTCAGCTATCGTTGGGAAACTTCCGAATATATTCCGTTATCCACTAGAGCTAAAGATCAGGGGGAACGCAAGATGGGAAGAACAAGAAGAATGTCTAAGCCCGTTATGGGAAGGTCATATTTAATGGGATAAGACAATACATGCAAAGTGATTTACATAGCTCCCCACTAGACAATTGTTCAACACTGTTCCCTAACGACGATTATATTTAAAGAATTTTCCAGCTCACATGCCTCTTGGGAGCTCACCCTAGTATATCTATGACTCCCCTACCAAGTAGTTCAAGAAAATTTTCATTTCCGAATCGAATAAAGATGAGTCGCATAATTGTGCAGAATGCCACTCAGGCTGCCGTACAAATAAAGACCACCAGAACACCAGTCTTAACCAGTATGTTCTACTGCCTCCCAGGTCGGAGAAGGGACCTGACAACCTTTCAGCAGAACCTGGGACAAATCTCTGTCCAGCCTTCTCCACTCCTAAATTTCCTCCCCATTCCTACCCTGGGCTCCCCTCTCTGCCCCCAACTCCTCTACCCCTAGTTCCCTTCATCCTCCTGGGTCCCCATTCCTTTGCCCGAAATCCCACCAAGGCTCTTTCCCTCCCTGCTGGTCGTAGGTGCCCGAAGTCTCGCGAGGGTGGTCCCGTTGCTCTGGTAACGAGCGGCCTTGCCTCTGGGTGAAGGGCGTGGCTGGGGCTATTAAACTAGACCGTAATTACCTCCAGCTGCTACCTGCACGGAAGGAACTGGCCTGGCCGGAGGACTAGGGGCAGCGGTGGCGAGAGGCCGGCTGAGGCCAGTCAGGTGCCCTCCTCTGAAGGAAAGGAGAGCGCAGGAGGGGCGCCCCCTGTGGAAAGAAGCGCGCGTGGGCCGACCGCACCCCGGAAAATGAGCTCCTCCCTACATTGCCAAGTACAGAAGTGAGCGTGAGAGGAACACTTGGATGACAGGAATTGTGGCATAACCAGCCTTCCCACCAAGAAAGAAGGTCATCTTGCCTCCCTGCAGACCTACCTGGGCGCACCTGCATTTGCCTCTTCTGCTTCAACGGAGGAAGATACCCACGGAGCCCCCATTAGATCGTCTCTGTGTGTGGCTTTCCTGAAGCTGGAGTTTTCATCAGTAGCAGGTCAGCATGTTGGATATTCCTGAACTCAGGGGGTTTGCTGCTTAGGGTGTGCTAGTCAAGAACTAGACGCGGTTGTCGCGAGGGAGTTTTATTTACTTGCAGCAGGTAAAGGAGATAGAGGATTCACATCCAAAGCGCTCTCCCGGAAGGGAGGTTAGCCATTGCTCATATACACGATTTGGTTAATTATATGTTGATTTCTTCTTTGCAGTTGGCTAAACTTACCTGGTTAGATTCCACTTAAGCTCATCAGGTTACAGCTGCAAAATATTGTGCCTCCATTTTAACATTTAGCAAGAATAGCGTTAAGTAAGAACCACCCAGACCTTGAGACCCTTGTCTCAACATTGATGTGCCTCCTAGGCTCATGTAAGGAAATAAAATAAAGATTGATGCCAGTCCAGTTTGGAATTGTGATCCCCAGTCTGAAACTTAAGTCTCTTAGTACTGAAGGCCTTAATGAGACAGACTGCTCTGTTGCATTTGTGGTTACTTGGCGTGGAGCTTGGACTTCCTTCTATGAAGTCTTGTTCCAAGAACACGCATATTGTAGAGAGGAGCTTAAACCATTAGATTCGAAACTGATAAATACTTGCATAGGTGAGATAATGGTGATTGCTACTACAACCTTCTGATAACTATTGCGATTTCAGTAAGACAAATATAATTGACTTAGAACAGAGACAGTGTCTATAGAATATTAACCAAAATATAAAGAGAAATGTAGGCAATTCAGCTGTTGGTCAATTAAAAATTAAGCAGAAAATAAATTTAACTCTGTTGCTACATTTCACTGCCAGGATAAGTAACTATAATTTTTCTTTGATTCATGATCTTTTTAATGCCCCAGGGTTATTCTGAACTTGCTATTTCTCTGTGGTATTTAATTGTAAATATAGGGTGTAAATGATTTGGCTGTGTTCCCTGGAAATTTTAAAGATTTTATTGGGGCATTGGGGGAGGGGAACAGCATTGGGGAATCAGGGAAAGGGAACAGACAAGTTGCTGTCCTTTTGTTCTTCAGTCTAGTTGTGGAGGACATTGCTTCACTGGCCCAAGTTGGTATTATCATTGCGCTCTTCCCGGGTGAGGCAGTCGCTGGCAGGCCATTGGATGGCTGCTCACGGCAGCTCACGAAAACTCAGGCCTGCTGCGGGCCAGCCCCACTGCAGCCTTAGCCATTGCCTGCCACTCATGGCAGCCCAGCTCCAGGTCAAGCTGTTGTTCACCATCTTAGCTGTAGAGGGCGCAGTGTCACTGGCCCTCAATATGGGATCCAAACCGAGGTCCTGCTGCTTAGAGCTGGCGTCCCAAGCCAACTCCTAACCAATGCACCACTTGGCCAGCTCCCTGGAAATTATTTTTCAATTAAATTACTTACTTGATTTGACTTTTTGTTTAGATTTGGTCTTTCTCTCATAAAAATCGAAAATTTGTTTAAATCTTTGAAATTGAAGGTTTATTTAGCTATGTGCTAATTAACATAGTTTTTTTAGTGAAGAAGGTTGTCACTTAATTCAATATAATTGAATGGATACTCATTTAAGGTGATAAACAGTTTCAATTTAAAAAGAATACTGTCAAATAAGTTCCTTAGAAATTGTTTTACAGCCTACCTACATAATAAAATAAATTTCAAGCCAAATACTGAAGAGATGTCAGAAGATTTGGGAAATGAAGACTATTCAGATGGAACAATCAGCGATGAAGATGAATCAGTATGTTTTTCTCAATTTTATCTTACTTAATTTGAGATAAAATTTGTGTTATAAAATATAGATTCTCAGTAAAAATATTATAAAATCAATTGCGTGTAAAAAATCAATTGAACGTTTATATCACTTGTTACTGAAGTTGGGAAATAATTTATTTGATTGAAAGCCAAAATATTAGAAGTATGCCCTATGTAGAAAGAGAACCTATATTGATAGTGTTTTCTGAGAAAAAATTTGGGTAAAATTCTTCTTCGTTTTATTAAAATGTGTGTATTAAGCCATTATTAGGGTTTATTTTTTTAATTCATGTCCACTTATTTTCTTATATGTACTAATTCTACTGTGTTCATTATAATATGTATCATAATACTGGAACCTTCTATATTCTAAACCTGTGTGTCACATTAGTAGGTCTAATGTGGCACTGATGTAACAAAGGAAATGGAGGGAAAAAGGGGGGTGGACAAAATGCAGTATTTAAAACTATGTTGTATGGTTCTAGCACATATTTCTGAGAGATTTTATTCACATTGTAGTAAAGTATAAATTATCATATATGTAAGTTAAGGGACCACAATAAGCACCCCAAAGTGATGTGTAACTCTTTAAGTCTATGACTTTCTCTGTTTCTTTTCTTTCTTTTCCGTGTTTTTATTTTTGTTAATTTTACTCTTAATTTAAATTGTTTTCTCAAGTTTACAGAGAATCTTTAAATTTTACTTCTTCCCTACAATCATTAATATGACCTTACACTATGGAAAAGGGGAATGCAAGGTGAAAACTTTAAGGTTTCAGGATACTGCTTTGAGACCAGTAGCCCATAATAATCCTCTAAATTTTTTTCATTTATTGCACTCAATTCTTAGTACAAAAATAGATGTAAAAAAAATTCTGAATTTGGAAACTGTTGGTTTTAAAAAGAGAAATATTTTAAAACTCTTGTTTTAGGATGAGGATACCTTTGCGAAAATTGTAAGTGAGGATCTCCACCAGTGTGCATTTTTAACAGGTTTGAACTTATCCATATATTTTCCCTTCTGTTTATGATAAGACCTTCAGTGGATGAAAAATAAGAAGATGAAGAAACTATAAAAAAGTCAGATTGAGTAATATAGGGAGTTGTTATTCTGTTATTAGATAAGGAGAGGGAAATGTATTCACTTTTGTAAGAAACTTTTGGAGTTCAAACCCTTAATGTTTGTTTTAGATAAACCTAACTTTTAATGAAACTAAATGAAAGCAGTCAATATTTTATAAAGGACTTAACGTGAGAATTTATCTTGAAATTTCTTTATATAAGTAGCTCTTTAAATGCATTTTCAGTATAATTCAAGTTATAATGGGCACAATGTTTTAGAACTGCATCTTTATTTAAATGAAGTATGGCTGTACAAGGAGTTTCCTTCATAAAGTCATTCATTTGCGAGTATACATGTATGTAGGCATCTCAATGTAGACTCACTTTTTAAAAATGTATGCATTTAGAGTTGTACTTTCAAATCCACATTAAAATATTTCTTCCAAATATGTATCACAGATATTTTGAAATTGAAGTGAAGGCCTTTATTTATTTTGTCTTTTTCACCGCTATCCTAATAACATAGGTTCACTTTAAAATAACCATTGTTCTCAGTTTGGTGTTTACCCATCCAGACCTTTTTCTTTGCATATATACACGTAGTTATACCCATACTCATACAAAAAAATGTGTAGTGCTATTTTGCAGGCTTCTCCCTGCTGCCCTTTTTATCTTTTTAAAATTTTGCCAGTCTGTTGGGGAAAAGGCGGTGACTTGCTGTTTTAACTTTTCCTTGATTGCAAAAGAAATTGAGGATTATTTCATATACTTGTCTATTTATAGTCCCTTGTGTTATGAATTGCTCGTGCATAGCTTCGTTGACTTTGCTTACGTTGCTTTCTTTTTTTTTCTTTTTTTGCTTATGTTGCCTTCATTGTTTAGAATTATTTTGATGTTAAGTATATCATTATTCATTTGTGGCTCTTTATTTTTCTATCTGCTTAAGCTACAAAGGACTTCTCTACCCCAAGATTATCAATATAATTATCTAAGTTTTCCTTAAGTACTTTGATGTACTTTGAATTTTGGTATTTAATGTCTCTAGCATTTACAAATAGTATGAGGCTTGGATCTAATTCATAAATTACTGCCTTGCCATTTTTGAGTCATACTGTGAATTAGACAAACTGGGGGGCCTACTCACATAATGGAATACTAGAGACTTAATAACTGCCTGTCAAATAAATGGATCTATATATAACAACCCTGAGAAGTAGCAAGGGAGGCTAATATTATTCCTTATTTACATGTAGTAAGATTTATGTTCAGAGAGGCTGCATGGGCCAACCCAAATCATATAGAAACAAAGCAGTAGATTAGAACTGTTTGACTCCTAGTCCAATTGCTTTATCTGCTGTTGTACAAAAACAGCTAAGAACTAAATCTAGGTTTTAAAACAAAAGCCACATTTCCGAGACGGAAAAGCAAAAGGAGACAGTGAGACAAATAGAATCAAGTATGTGAAAGGCAGGAAGGGAAGCATCCCAAAAAGACAGGGAATTGAGCTTAAGGACAGGCGATTATTAACATCAAATTGATGTTGCAGGTATCCCATTGAAAGAGACAGGGCCTCTGCGCTACCTACTTGGGGCAGCCCCGTTATATTCCATGTGAATTACGTTCCTGGAGTTGTGCCGCACAGTGGCCCTAGAATGAGAACTGAGCAAAAGCTGTGACTGAGTTCGCTAGCGGCCTTTGAGAAGGTAGTTCCAGTAGGTGGTGAGGGAACAGGGTCAGTGGGTGTATGTAACCCATTAGACAAATAGCTGCCTCCGTGTGATTACATTTAAGATGACTTAACAGTAAGCAATTTGCTAGAAAAGCTGCAAAGAAACAAATGCAATCCCTATCGAACTCCAAAATGTTTTTTTCTGAGTTGCAGGGAGAAGTTAGCATAAATTAATAGTATTTGAGGTCAACAACTGTGTTTTGGTTATTGTGAAGATCAACTGTTACAAAACTTAGTACTTTTATGTTTTAAGTGCCATGGATTATAAAATATTTATAATTATATCCACAAATAGTCACAACTTAATGGTGTTGGCAGGGGAAAAAAGAATATATAAAAAATTCCAGGAATTGGGAGTTTGCTTATCACTCATGATTGTGTTTGAATAACCTTTTTCAGGTGACTCCATTAGTGACCCATCTTTCCCCCGGACTACACAGATACTGTTGGAATATCAGCTGGGGAGATGGGTGCCGCGTCTTCGTGAACCACGAGATTTATATGGTGTCTCTTCTTCTGGTCCGCTGAGCCCAACACGATGGCCGTACCACTGTGAGGTCATTGATGAAAAAGTCCAACATATTGGTACGTTCTTAGCAGTTTGGGGAATCAAACATTAGTAAATTTACTTTGCCAACTTTGATTTGAATGAGACTCCCAGTGTTAGAACAGTGCATTCCAACAGAAATATAACGTTGGAACATAACGTATATTATACAGAAATGTAATTTTAAATTTCCTAGTTGCCACATTTAAAAAGGTAAAAAGAAGCAAGTGAAATTTATTTCAAAAATATGTTTTCTTTAACCCAAATATATCCAAAATATTTTACATTCTTTTTTTTTTATATAAAGTCTTCGAAAACTGGCGTGCAATTATACTTACATTGCAATTCGATTCCAATTAGTCCACATCCTCGCCAGCATTTTTCTTTTGCTTTTTGGTGATAGCCATCCTGACAGGTGTGAGATGATATCTCAGTGTGGTGTTGATTTACATTTCCTTGAAAGACCAGCGATGTTGACAATGCAGTCCCGATCAGAATCCCAATGGAATTTTTAACAGAAATAGAAAAACTACTCTAAAATTCAGCTAGAACCACAAAAGGCTATAGATAGCCAAATCAAATTGGAAAAGAACAAAGCTGGAGGCATCACACTTTCTGATTTCAGAATATATTACACAGCTACTATAATCAAAACAGTATGGTACTAAAAAAAACAAAAACAAAAACAAAAAAAAACACAACAGTATGGTACTGACATAAAAACAGACATATGGAAAAGAATAGAGAACCCAGAAATAAATCAACTGATCTTTGACAAAAGTGCCAGGAATACACAATGGGCAAGGAATAGCTTCTTCAATAAATGTTGAGAAGATTAGATATGCACATGCAAAAGAATGAAATTCGATGATCCCTGTCTTACACCATACCAAAAAAAAAATCAATTCAAAATGGATTAAGGACTTAACCATAAGACCTGAAACTGTAAAACTTAAAAGAAAACATAGGAGGAAAGCTTCATGACGTTGTTCTTGGCAATATCATGGACATGACACCAAAAGCACAGGCAACAAAAGCAAAAATAAAGAAACGGGACCGGGCCGGCCGAGTGGCGCGATGGTTAAGAACTTGCTTGGGACGCCAGAGGGCCCCGGTTCAGATCCCACATGAGGGCCAGTGACACTGCCCTCTACAGCTAAGATGCTGAACAACAGCTCAACCTGGA